TTATTTATTAGGGTAAATTTCATTACGGGTCCCAAGTCTTTCATTAGTGTGTCACATATGTCCCTAATTTATTGTTTGTTGAACTCATGTCTCAAACTTTTAATATTGTATTATCCATTTTCCTAGCTAATGAAAAACGTTTACTTCAACATGTGACACTCACGTGATATTAAAATGAAAGGTTAAAATTATCCAAAAAGATAAATCTATTCCAAATCAATCCAAACTGTCAGCTAACATGAAGAGATGATTTTTTTTTGTTAAAAATTGGTTCCCATTTCATGTTTTTAGCTCATTTTTTAAATCTTTAATCTTTCAATATTATAGTAGGTAAAAACTTGTAAAAGTTGCATGGATTTGAGCATTCGAGCTATGTTTAGGAAGATAGCTGAAGTCGCATAATGCAAGACGAGATAAAAACAAGTAGATGAATTTGTTGTCTTTTCTCTCTTTTTTGTTTTTTTTTCGGATCATTCGAATTTATCTATTTTATTCTTCAAAAGTGTACTACACGTAACGAGTGATGTGGACAGAAACCATCCATTTCAAGAATAAGGTGACATATACTTGATAGATTGAGGACCTACTCTCAAAAAATAAAGACTGAACAACTTTAAAACATACGATAGACATAACTTTAGCCAGTAAAACTTGAAATTTACAGCATACTTGTAGAAGCATGCTTGAAACAGGATGGATCCAACAAACTAGGCTTGGAGTGACATTCCAACTTAGTTCTAAATATTTCACAAATCCTCCACGCAACAAATCCACAAAAATCAGCAAACACCATATCATATTTGAATTCCAATACATTCCATCGCTCATACATCCATATACTAATTCTTATTCATGTTAGATTACAAAGAACCTCAGTCTACTCGAAACCTTAAAAAACCCAAAAGACAGGTTTTTCTGATGCGGTGTAAATCATAACATATTCCCAAATGATTCTCAATCTATGAGATTGATATCAGATTACAGGAAAAGTATTTGCTGCACAAGGAAATGATCGACTGATCAATTGGTAAGGATGCATCTAATGGGTGATCCCTCTGCACCAACCAACCTTAAAGGTAAGCAATGCACCGTATATATTCCAGGTTTAACATTATCAAGATTCAGGCCTTCAACGAGGATGATTTCCTGAAAATAATACATATTCTTCGTCTATATACTTCATTGTAGCAAAGGAAAAAGGATATCAGAGAATTAATGCTTACCCTGCTTTTTAAGAAAACGAGATGAGCAGTAATCACATCATCGTGAGCAGCAACAGATAGGTAATCGATTCCTACGAGGATAATCAAATGAGTGAAACCAGGCTATAACTCGGAAACATTGCATTGAAATGTCGAGATAACACTTACCAACAAGTTTAATGTCAGTGTTATCTACAAGCCACTGCGCCCCGTCTTTCATAAATCCCACATAACTCGCATCGAATTCCTTTTTGTACATAAGACGCCTGCTAACAAATTGCATCTGTTATCCTTAAACGCCATATGGGAAGTATTCTGGTTACTTAAACGAACCCAAAATTATATTGTTATTAAAATATGAACGCCGGCCATTGTCTGAACTAATCCAAATCAGTAATTAGGTTCCTTTGGTTGATCATACGAATACAGTAACATATTCCGAAACAAAAATTTACTTAAAAGTACATGTAAGTTACTTTTGAGCTCTCCAAACATGCTCAAAACAATGAATAAAGCATGTGAAGTGTTACTTAAAAGTAGGTTTAAGCTACTTTTGATGGAAGAGTAAACATACATATTGTTTAAGCAATCCCAGCAAAGCAAAGTTATCCTTAGTGGAAAATTACCTGTCAGTGTTTAGTGTTCTAAATAGCACTCTTTTCACTCCCTGGGGAATATTTAAGGACTCCATAACTTCAGCTGAAAGAGAATTGGAAAAAGAACCTCAATATGTTGTCAAGAAATGGGAAGCCATAAGATTCTAAGGCTCATTTGGCAGACTTCTGTTTTTGTTTTTTGTTTCTGGTTTCTTTAAAAGCCCATCTAGTCATAAAAAGGGATTTCAGAAAAGGTTAATCCATTTGTACATAATGGTTTGTACATAATAGATTACCCTGGTCAAATTTTGATTGAAATTCACAAGCAAAGCAAATAGAGATGTGTACCAGTTATATTCGTATCTCTGGGAACATCAACAAGCAGTGCTGGACCTGTCCAAACACACAAAAACAAACCTCAACTCATATAATCAAACGTATAAGAAAATTAAATTTATAAATATCGATACCATTAAGAACTCTAAGATCAAGTGTATCCACATCATATCCTTCATCGAAATAGTTATCGTACATATGCCCTGGCGCATCAACGTGTGTACCAGAGTGCACGGGTAATTTCATTTCCGAGAAATTATAGTCTGAGCCATTCTTCATGCTCTCCAAGAGCGTTAGAAACCGACCAACACCCTTTGTAGAACTACCCACAGGTGTATTGGGAGTGAACCTGTGTGTGATGTCAAATATTTCTCCGTTATCATATACTTCCCTTCGCAAAGGACTCGAGATCGTATCACCAATTCCAACACAAGCCCCCGATTCATCGCCATATCCAGAAGGGTAAGCATCATAGGATAAAACCGCAGATCGTAAAGAAATTACCAGCAACTCAGCAAAAACCAGCAAAATATGCACAGATCTCATTTCTCTTCCAAGTGATAAAAAATTGAATTGCCTAGAACAGAAGATCAGATTATACTTATCTGTTTGTACTAAGAGACATTGAAATAATTGTGGTCAATGCTTAAGAGCATCAGCATCAAAGTGACACGCATATAGTAATACTAATTTGACACACGTGTGATGCACGTGCCATTGTTGAAGTTGGGTATTAAATAGTATGTTGTTTAAAGAAAAAAAAATGAAAGAAAATGAGAAAGGATTTTGACATAATTTGTAAGTGTATTATAATTATACTAAAAAAATATAGAATATATGTAAGTGGTTAGAATATGAGAAATGCTATTCATCCCCAGTAGGGATGCATCCCCAATCTATGTGACATTAAATGATAGGTCACATATCATTTAACCAATCATTTACATCCACATAGACTGGGGATGTATCCTCACTGGGGATGAATAGCATTTTTCTTAGAATATATAGACAAACCAAATTTTCCATACTACATCATCATATTCATTAATGTGATAAGATGAAGTGCCTCAATTGAATAAAAAATTGAAGTCTAACGATGGTGACAAAAGTGAAACAATGAGTGGGTGAACTTCAATACATTTAATGACAAAAAACATACTAATTGCAAGAGTACATAAAATCAAGTTTTTCTTCTCTTACAACCACAGAACCACTCAAAAAGATAAAGGAAAGAAAAAAGCTTTAATTTAAAGTATATTAAATAAACATCAACTTCTAGCAGTCCAATATGCAAAATCTGAAAATGTAGCACATGCACCAACTGTTAATAATATTAAAAATAAAGATTTATGTTCAAGAAACTATAAGGAACTAAAAAAAAGAATAGCATTTGGAACAAAGAATTAGCTTACTTGTTTTCAACTAACTCATGTTGTAAACTATAATTAAAAGTTTCAGTAATCGACTACAAAGCCTTCTCTCTTGTAGATCATCTGTAGAAGGCAAACAAAATACATATTAAACAAAGTCATTGAACTAATATACGGTGCATAGAATTTGCAATTTAACAGACTAGGGGTGATAAATATGATAAATTTTCTCAAGTTCTAAAGATAAGAAATACAAATAAAAGTACATGTACAAAATTGATAGGAGAGCGTCAAACAAAATAATATTAGCTAAAAACATAAGAGGTCAACACTCACTTTCAACTATTTTTACGGAGTCGGGCATGGGAGATAGCAATCTAAGGACCAACGTGTGAATTATTTTTCACAATAGCAATGTCTAAGGCTTTACAAGGAAACTCGTACAATAAGATGTACGTAAACAGTTTGAGGCAAATTAATGAAATTGGGTAGAATAGAATAGGAAGAAAAATAAGAAAAACCTTAAGGCCAAGCAAGTATTTGTCTATTGATCCTAAAACATTATATAAAGGATACTTGAAGCAAGAGGAGCTCTTCCAGTTAGTCCATTCACTCTACCAAGCAAGAATGGAGTTTTGCATTGTCGTTTATGTTCTGCTCCCTTATGGCTATTGATGGTGTTAACATTGCTAACTGCCTATATACATACCAACATGCAAACATCAGCAAATAATAATAGGATTTGCTTGTCAAAAAATGACTTGATAGCCATTACAAACTCTTACCTCAGGAAAGGTGAAGTTAAATTGACAATCACCTTTCCATAAAGCTTCTAACTAATTAGAAGAGTTGTTAAATTGTATTCACTCCGAAGTAGTAACCACTATTTTCTCCAAGAAATCACATAGAATTGAAATTCTTGTCCAACAAAGGGCTGTTGTTTTACCTATAATTGTATGCTTCAAGAAAAATGAAAAGAATTTCATCTTGTAGACTTTCATCAAAACTCAAAGCGGCTATAATATTTGAAAATTTAGTCAATTGCCATGGAAATGTCTTGTACTTATAATGTGCGGTTTATGTCTCAACGATAAGATCCGGTTTAGAATTCTCCTTATTAAATACTTTGAGCATTATTCACATCCAAGCGCTTGTCAGTAACTCCATCCATAGTTCAACATAACTTCGAAAAAAAGTCAAGAAAAAAAATGTGAATGAAAGATATGGGTATTCCTCTTTAGACCTTTGTTTTCCATAGCAGTGAAGCACAATAAAGAAAGCAAAAATTGATGGAAACCAATTCTCCAAGTATCTGATTCAATGAAAATTATTTAGGATTACATGCTTGAAGCCGACAAGCAGTACGATATTAACGAGGTATTCATCTTACTCGTTTGTAATGCAAGCATCCACAAAAATATAGTAATAAAATATTAACATTAGTTTAAGATAATCATAATATAAAAGAACATAAATATAGAAAATTTCTAATTCTTGACAGGGACTCACTTCGTGAAGACCGTCTTCCATGCTGTACTTACAACATAACAGTCCATATTTTAAGAGTTCCTACAATTAAGAGATAAAGTAGGTCAGTTCAGGCATTTAATCAAACAAATCGAATACATTGACTTGTTTCAATAAGTTACAGAAATAACGCTTTGATGCTATAACAA